AAGGCTGTCGCGTGGGCGATTGCGTAGGCGGGCCAGTTTGCTGTCAGGAGGTAGGCGTGGACTGTCGCTTGCGGGGTGTTGTAGGCTGCCGTTGTGTAGAATTCGAGAAAGTGGAAGAGGGAGAGGGCGGAGAGGAAGAAGGGGAGGCGCCAGAGCGGGGACGAGGTAGTCTGGAGGAGGAGGGACAGGGAGAGGAGGCCGAGGGTGAAAGTTGTGCCGAGGAGGAAGGCGCGGAGGGCGATGCCGGCGAGGGATTTCGGTTGGTTTGGGTAGTATTCTTTTCCTGGGGTTGGGGGGTCCTGGGGGCGGGCGTCGCTGGGGGGGATGTCAGCTTGGGGGTCTTTGTGGCGGTTGTGGTTGCGGTTCGGGAGGTTTGGTGGTTGGGAGTAGAGGGGGTTCATGGGCGTGCGTGAAGACATGGCGATGGTGGGGGTCTTGGTGTTGAGGGGCAGAAAGAGGTTCGCAGAACTGGACGTCCTTTGGAGGTGTCCGAGGACGTCGAGGTCGCAGCCGCAGTTGCTCGCCTCACTTCACCTCACACCAGGGATAGGACAGAGCAGGACAGGACAGGACGGTACGGGACCGGACATGTGCGGAGAGGAAACGGGGTACGGGAGATCGGGGCGGTGTTCTTGTGATTGATGCCGGGACCGAGGGTGGTGTGGCTGAGTTTGCGGCTCTGGCTGAAGCAAGACGAGAAAGGGAAGGCACAGGAAAGGGAAGGCAGGGAAAGGTAGAGATAGGTACTAGGCAAGGCAGATGGGTACTTACACCCGACGGAAAGTCGACATGGTTGTGGCTGGCTGACTTGTGTGAAAAGATGCGTTGATCCGATGTTTCTGTGAATCCAAGCAGGTCGGGTTAAGCCACTCGGGAGCCCACATGCAGAGTCGTGGTGGTGGCCGCGGGATGCGGGATACGGCAAAGGGGCAGATGCGAGTGTGGCAGAGTTTACGTTGCGAGAAAAAAACAGAGCCTCAACGAGCCGCGGAACGACGTCGAGACTGGAAGAGCGCAGTTTGTGGCGGGGCAAGTTGGCTCTAGCTTCTTTTGTGGCCGTCATTTACATGCGAGCCCAAGTTTCCCGTTTTTTTTTGCAACACTGACACAGACGTCTACGGATAGTTGCGACGAAAGGGAAAAGCGGGAAGAAGGGCAGAGAAGGAAAACGAAAAACTTGGCAGTGCTGGTAACTCTGTTCGAGTTCAGAACATGGCGGTTCTGTGGCGGTGAGCTCGTGATGGGTTTGCGATAGAGTGAATTGGGTAGTAAAAGCGAAGTATGAAGTCGGCGTTCGTCAGCCAACATGCGTGGAAACGGAGTCTCTCGGATTCGTGAATTGCGAGACTCCGACGTCCAGTGTGGGTGATGGGGTGCGTTCTCCCGGTCGTTTGCTGCAATCCTCGGAGGTATTCGAGTATGTACTATACTAGCAAGAATCGTGGAGATGTGGACGTGAGACTGCACAGACGTTGGATCCTTCTTTCTGTGCTGCGCAGACTGTGGAATCCAAGATGCGGAATCAGATGTCGTCCCCCACCTTTCCTTCCCAGCGTTAGTCTCTCCACCTCAGCCCAGCTAGGGGATGCTGAGGTTATTCCCGTTGTGATGTCAGGTAAGGCTGTTCTGCTCAATGGGTTCTTCAACAGTTCCCTGCCCCAGGTATTCAACGAGGAAGAATACGAGGGAGGGACGGGAGAAACGGAATCTGGCAAACAATGTTTTGCTGTGGCTGACAGATAGAGACAGACAGACAGAGATGACGACCTGGAGTGAGTGCGTCGTGTCTGTCTGGTGCACACACACACACAGAGTTGACGCGGGTAAGGCCAAGCGCGAGCGCGGGCCGAGTTAAGGGGGGCGGGTGACGCAAGTGCGTGGAGCCCCCGCGGCCGTCGATGCGCTTTGAACACCTGCGGATACTTCGTACACTGACTGACTTCTCTTAGGTGTCGTGCAAAATACTGCTGTTGCTGGCAGCTGCTTCTTTTTCCCATTTTGGGAGGGGGGGGGGGGGGCACTGGGGAGGAGCAGCACCAGCAACCAACATGGTCCAGGTCTGGTCCCCTTCTTTCTTCGTCTCCCCCCCCCCCCGTCCCCGTTTACACGTACCTTGCTTCGGGTTCACCGACCAGATCATCCACCTTTAGCTCTGCTGCGTAGCCTCTGGGCTCTCTTCCCTTTCCCTTCTCCTTCCTGGCTCCATTGCTTCAATTGGTCACTTGATCCTTTAATGCCTCTTTCTTCAGGGTTGCCAGCTCGTGAATTAAACTACCAGACTACTGCCATAGCTCGACAACGGCCGGCAATTGGCATCCGAGATCCAATACCTACACTACTTTACTCTCCGTACCTACACTACTGCATACTCCTCCATAGAGACCCTTTTCCTCTTCCTCCTCATCGTACAAAAAGTCGTGGGTTGTGCTCTAGGTTTTCCCAAACGACCCCGTCTTCAATAGAAACACCTTGTTCTCGCTTCTTCCATCCATCAATTACATTCCTCCTCATCATCCCCCCCTTATCCATCTCTGTGGATATCCTTTTTCTTGTCAACTCACCGACAAGTCGGTTGTTTCCACCCCAGATTCCCCTGACCCCCATTCTGAACTTACCTCACCTCACCTCACCTCGCTTTACCTCGCCTTACACGAGCTTGGCAAACATAGACACACTTCAACTCATACCTACGTCCCCTACACATACGTACCTTACGCGCGACCGCGCACAAAAGACACATCCCACATGCTCATCCTCCAAGACGTAGCCATGGACATCCGCACCGTCGACAAGGAAGAAAACAGGAGGCGCATGAGAAACGGCGAGCTCTACTGGGCCTTTACCCCGGATCTCATCGCCGACAGGAAACGCTGCAAAGCCGCTTGCGACAAGCTAAACAACGCTGGCGATGTCAGCCGCCGTACCCTCGTTGGCATGTGGAAAGAGTGAGTCCCTTCTCTCTTTTCTCTATTTCTCTGTTTCACTATCTCCACCCCCCGGTTCTATTTGCGCGTATCGCCGTGTCCCCGCATCATTTGGGTATCGGCAACTTTCCAGACCTTTTGAGAGCTTCCCTTGTCCCCCGCAACTTTGCATTACCTCATGTGTACTCCGTACCTAGCATAACGAGTGAACGGATCTGACTTGAGAACCCACCCAGCATCAACCGGGACACGATCCCTCTCCCTCCGCCACGTCTCCGCCATCATGAGGACGATGCCCTGCTTGAAGACTACCCGTGGATCGATACCCCGATAAAGATGGACTACGGCTACAATGTCAAGTATGTGACACCCACCCCCGGATCTCCACAGCCAAGTGAAGCGTGCCTCGTACTCACCGCCCAATAGGCTCGGTGAGAATGTCTACGTCAACTCCAACAGCACATGGATAGACACCTGTCTCATAACCGTGGGCGACCGCACCCTCATCGGTCCAAACTGCTCGTGTAAGTCCCCTCCTCTCTCCTCTCTTCTACTTATACCCCATCAGGCGCAACCCGCGACCCGCGAATTACCTAAGCTGACCTCTCAAAAAGTCTACAGCGGCACACATCCGCTGGAACCCCGTCTCCGCAACGGCACCCGCGGGCCAGAGTCGGGTAAGCCAATCACCATCGGTGAGGACTGCTGGCTCGGCGGCAACGTCATCGTACTGCCCGGAATCACCATCGGCAAGGGCGTGACCGTCGGCGCCGGGAGCGTCGTGACCAAGGACGTGCCGGATTTCGTATGCGTGGCGGGTAACCCGGCGCGGGTAATCAAGACTGTCGAGCAGTCGCAGCCGACGACAACAAAGCCGTCGGACGAAGTGCCAAACAGGATCGTTCCTAGCTCTACCATGTAGTAATACAGTTTTCGCGTGCCTGGCTTTTCATCGTGCGTGTAGTATGTATAGGTGTTTATGTGTATTCATGTCGTATTCGTGTTCATAGACCACCTTGAATAGTGAAGGATGCGATAATGAGGACGAGGACGTTGATGACGCCCCATAGTAACGGGATCCAAGTTGACATGGAGAAGAAACCGGCACGGTAAACCGCAGCTAGGCTGTGACGCAGTATCCCATGTTAGCCTCTCTCTTTATCTGTCTCTCTGTGTTTATCTTCTGCACTCCTATCTTTGCCCCGAGTGCCAAATACGAGAAAGAGAACTCACATCAACCCAACAACACTACCCGCAACCAGCGCCTGCACGCCCGACACGATGAGGTACAGCAGCGGCACGGCCCAGATGTACGTCAGCGACCCGCGCTTGTTGGTGTGCATGGCGATGGTGATGGCCGCCGCGCCGAGGTGCACGACGCTGTAGATTATCGTCGTCCACAGCACGGTGAAGCGCCAGATGTCGTTGATGTAGAAGAGGCTCCAGCGGTGGTCGTCCGTCAGGTCGCGGAGCTGCCAGTTGATGCTGGGGAACGAGGGGGTCTTGTAGTTCGTCGGCGGGTAGTCGCGCGCCGTTTGCGACATTGTTCGGGGTGTCGGGTGTTTCTCTTTTTCGGTTCCGGTTCGATTCGACGTTGGAGGAAGGAGAGGATGTAGGCGGCGAGAGTTGTAGGTAGTACGAGGTCGTTGACCTTTTTGTTCGAGGTTCTCGGAGGTTGTTGGTGTACCTAGTGTAGGTAGGTAGTCGCAGTTCCTGCGCGCGGTGACGATGTTGCTGGGGTTGAGTGGACGATCTTCGGGTGCCAATTGGGGTGGGCGGGAGGTGTTGCAGGGATGGCGCAGCTTAAGGCAAGCTCGAGGTGTGGCTTTAGGGGCGTGTCCCGTCGGTCTCCAGGTGCCTCGGCAAATGCGCCCGCCCGCCGAACGTCCTGCTATCGGCACCGGCTTCGATATCGCAATCCACCGGCAACATCACCAGCCGCACCTTCCTTCCACCACCGTCTCTTCCGTTGCGAAACTTCATTCATTTCCCGTCTATGGTTAATTCCCTCCCAGCATAGCCGTCGAATGATACGCCAGTCTCGCGAAACGATACGACACGACCCGACCCGACACGATGCCGGCCGACAGACTCCTCAACACGGTTCTGCAGCTGTACCAAAACGTCCATGACGACCGTAAGACGGACCAGATCGTCGGCTCGACCGTGAACCTCCTCACCTCCCTCTCGAATCCGCTGAACCTCGGCGTCCTCACCTCCCAGCTCCTCATCGCCCCCGCCATCTGGCACCGCCGCGACGGCCTGCGCACGAGTCTCCGCATCATTTCAATCTACAACAGCGCCGCGATACGGGTGCGGCAGAACGAGCTCGACGACGCAAAGGCTTCCTCGGTCGCCAACAATGACTCCCGCACGATTCATACACCGACACCGACGAGGCAGGGTGGCGGTCTCAGCAGCGAGACGTGGGTGCGGGCCGTGGTCAAGGGCGCCGATGACCGCTCCAACAGGTGGCAGCATCTGCTGGTCCTGACGGGTATCCTGATGGGCATGGAGGGCAACGATAAGCGTTCGTTGTCGCGGGGTCTGCGCAATACCCTGGAAGAGGCCGTCGTCACGGCCGCGAACCTCGCGCTGGAGCGCCAGGACGGGTCCTTCGCCTCGGCGTCCATCGTGCTCGCGCTCAACTACGTCTTCCCGTTCCTCTCAGAGTTCCACCAGTCCGCCATCAACTACAACGCACTGCTGCCCATCACCGTGCTAGCCATCACGGGAGAGGACGGGTTCCAGGACGGCGGGTTCTTGGAGGACGTTCGGAGGGACGTCAAGCAGAACGGTCCGTTCGTGGAGTGGTCTCCCGCGTCGCCGTCGTTCAGGCTGCAGCAGGCGTTGGAGAGCAAGCCGCTGATGGGCGGCATGGGACCGCTGTCCCGGCTGGCGGCCTTTGCCGTCACGAACGCGACGGACTCGTCGGCCGTGCTCGACGCGCAGGACTCGCTGCTCGAGTTTGCGCAAAAGCTTTTTCAGCAGTGGCAGCGCAACCCGTTGTCGACGGTCGACGCCGCGGACGAGACGGCGCGGCTGGAGCACAACACGCTCGAGGGGACCTGGCCGGTCCTCTGGGGCACGCTGAAGAAGACAATGTACGCCACGGTCGCTGTCCTGCAGTCCATTGTTGGGCGCAGTCTTCTCGATCCACGCATGAGGAACGATGTCATGGGTCCTCAGGTCGCGACCAAGACACTGCTCACTCTGCGGTTTCTGTTCTTCATCTCGTCGAGGCACGGAGCCAGCTCGTTCCAGGCGTACACTTTTACCTACCTCACATCCCTCGACATCCTCGCACGGTTCGGAGATGCTTGCGTCTCCTTCCTCACGGAGACGAAGCCCCCTCACGCAGGAGTGGTGCCCCCCGGCCCCCTCGACAGAACACTAGACCTGTTCTACCTCAACATCGCCGAACACCTGCCCCTCAACATGCCCACAGAAGCCTGCGACGCGCTGGTCGTCCGGCCGGCGACAGCTTACCTCACCCACACGGGTGCTCTCACATCGACGACGGTTGAGCTCTTTGAAGCAGCCCACAGCGCCGTCCTCTCGGTGCTCTCGTGCCCGCACAATGGCGCCCTGACCGTCACCCTCGTTCCCTTTTACGTCGACGCCCTGTTCGCCTCGTTCCCGGCGCAGATCTCGACGCGGCAGTTCCGCGTGGCCTTCAAGACGGTCATGCAGATCGTCTCGCCACCCTTCCCCATATCCCTCGCCGAGCCGCAGCTCTCCGAAACGCTCCTCGAAATGGTGCGCTTCAAGGCGCTGGGCGCGGGCACCGCACCGCTGCCCGCCACGCACGACGCGCTCGCGCAGGCTGAGAAGGGCCTCGAGGCGACCGCCGAGCAAACAGAGGTCCTCTCGGAGCAGAGCTCGCTCGTGCTGACGCTGGTGGATTCGCTTCCGTTCCTGCCGCTGCCGTTGGTGGAGGAGTGGTTGACGCTGACGGCGCAGGCGATGAACGAGATTGCGGACCCGGCTGTGCGGCGGCCTGTGAGGGATCGGTTCTGGGAGGTGCTGGTGAGTGGCGAGATGGATGTCGAGAGGGCTACGATTGGGGTTGCGTGGTGGACTACCAAGGGCGGGCGGGAGCTTGTTGTCGGGAGGGATCAGGTTCTGCTGCAGCAGCAAGAGCAGCAGCAGATGCCGTTGATGAGTGGTGCGATTATGGATGAGAGTAAGTCGAGTAGGCTGTAAGACTGTGGTCAGAGAGAAGCGTGTGATTTATTTTGTGTATCTGAGCGGCAATGAGATGATGTATCACGTAGAATGGAAAATTAATATGAGCGGGAGGAGTTCAAGGCCAAGACTGTCGAATCTAGATTTTACCATCATCGCATCCGTGACGTGTCAAGTGACTGCTCTTTCTGATATGAGGACTCGATGTACAGACACGTGTAGCAAGTCTCACGCAACTGGGAAGGAGGTCAGAATCCAAATTTGCTTGTAAGCGTCACGTCCCTTCAGAATGATCTCTACGAGATGGACATGTATCACGGGACAGGGTGACCACTGTCACTGAACTGATGTTCCGTATTTGTATCTCGCTGGTCGTATACAGTGGTGATGCATCGCCCTGCTTCTGCTTCTGTAGTCCTCCCGACAGTCGTGGTTCTGCAACGTTGTTTTCCCACTTCCCCTGGCTGGTGCCCGGCGTGCTCTCCACCCGATGCCCACAGCACTCGCGAGGCTCCCTTGGTGTCTGTAATTTGTTCCAATGCGAGTAGAATGCCTGCTAGCCAATAGTTAGAAAGCTTGATGCTGTAGGAAATATAGCCTATGTTCTTGACTTACCCAAGCAGTCGGGAGAGAAATCCACAGATGCTACAGGTAGTAGCCAAAGCAAGCAAGCAAGCTATCCAGCCCTCTTCCTCTGTGCAAGAAAGGAGACCACATCCAAAGCAGGCCGACCATCATCAAATCAACATCAATGAGACACCACAGGTCCGTACCACTTCTTCAGCTGCATGACGACCCGGAGCGCGTCGTCAAAGATGAAGAGGTACGTCTCAAAGTTGCGGTCAAAGAAGCAGTCGGCGTCCGGCATGCGCGGGTCCTTTGACGCCTTGATGAGGCGCGGGACGACGCTCTTCAGGACGGCCATCTCCTTGTCCGTGAGCGGGTTGACGTGGAAGGACTGGCGGCCGCCGAGGAGGCGGGTGATGACGATGCGTTCCTGGCGGGTGATTTCTGGTGCGTCGGAGAGGATTTCCGAGGGGCCTCTGGCCGCGTTGGCTCGTTTGGTCTTCATTTTTTGAGGGGATGGATGTGCTCGAGGTGTATGGATAGAAGTGACGGTTTCCTTGCTTGTGAAGAGGGATGGGTGATGATGTTGGTGAGGATAAGGTGAGTTGTCGTAGGTTAGTGATGTGGAGGACAAGGAGATGTTGTAGGACTGTACGATCTCTTGTTGTTGCTTGGGGGACAGATGTCTCTTTGATGAGGCAGAGAAGAAAAAGAGAAGGTTTTGCTTTGTGGATTGCGAGAAGGAAGGAGCGATCAAGACATCATGGTCTAGAGGAAGGACCGGCCTCGGGCTACGAGCAAGCTTCATCCCCGCCCCCCCTTCTCATCCGAATAATCATCGGTTTGAGTATATTCCTTTCAAGATGTGATGGCTTGTTTCCCTTTTCTCGTGATCCGTCTTACATTTGTCCAGTGGCTATTGATGCTGCATTGTAGTGATTCTACAGAACCAAGGAAAACGAGAGATGGCACGTAGCCGAGAAGCTTGCTTTGATATACTCAAGGGACGAGCGAGTAGATTTCTTCTTCGCATTCAAACTCAGTTCTCACTTGATTTCTATAGGGGCGATAACGCGGCGTAACACAGGAACAGAGTGAGACGACAGCCGATGAAAAAAGCTCGACAACCATGATTTCCTGCGCGTAAGCGAATCAAATCTACAAGGTTTCATGGGGCACATGACTGGTGTTTGGGGGTGGGAAATATCTCTTCAGTATCTCAGCGCTCATCTCGTTCATCTCTCTGGACGACTGTCATGCCTCCTCGGATCTGGGAAGGGCCATGCCCCACGAAGCGCATTAAAGGAGAGAAGATGAGCGGGCATTTAGTCTGGTTAGAGAAGCAACGCGAAAGCCCCTGTTTTGGACGCCAATATATGGCAACGATTGGTAGACCTTGCATCTCTCATCCCCAAAACTACTGCATTTGTAGGAGATGTGCTTCAGAGAATACTCCTCGCGCGAACGTCGGTACATCGCACGCCTCAACTTCAAATTAAAGTATTCTGGAATTCGGCAGCATAATATCAGGCCTGCAGTGGTCAGAGCGAGTTCATAACCTGAAGCCTCAAGTCGGATCAGCAGGGGCTCGCCTCTCTTCACGTATACATGATCATGCCTGGGAGTATATGTCGAGAAGCACTGCAATCCAGGGCCGTCGCCAGGACACCATGGACTGTTAATCTTGCCACTCTATGTTCAAGCTGGCTTAGATTGGTTTGATACTTGAAGTATCGAAAGGCAGTGGTTTGTCATCACGGTCTAGCGAGGATCGACGACTTCTGCCACGTTTCTGGGTCGTTCAGCTGGACAGCGAGGGAATGTCCGGCAATTTTGGATGACAAAATTGCCCTCTAGCAGGAACCTGAGACGGTCGGCACTCTCAGGGTTGAACGCAGTCGGACCAAAGAGACAGGAACCCCCAGTTGAAATGCTCTTCCCAGACCAAAGTCAAAAGCCACTTCTCATGGCAAGTCTGCAAGCCGGCAATTCCCAAACTTTTGTCGCTACATCAGAGTCGCTCAAGCAACATAGCAAGATAACAACCTTATTGTGCTCACATGCGAATGCATGTCTCTAACTCAAGTAGCAAAGAGTCTCCCCAATGTCACCCAGATCAAGTCGTGTAACAGGCATGTAAGTCAAGAGACAAGAGACGCAGCACCAAATTTAAACTCTATCTCATGCTCTCAGAGTCGCTCTGGGCCAAGCCGGTCCCAAAAACATGTATGCAAACCAACAACCATCAAAAAGCAAACTTCGGGAGAACATCAAAAGATTTGGTGTTCCGACACCGAGAGTCGTACTCGGATCTCTCCGGGACTTTGAATCATTTGATTGACTGAAAGCGGAGTATGCTAACCGCTACACCATGCCGGATTGTTTTCTTATTGCCAACAGTTAGTATATACAGGCAGAACCATGTCTGTGATTGGTCGTTCCGTTACTAGGATGACTAGCGGCGTGTCTGGGGTTGGTGGAATGTGCATTGACAGGGCGTTTCTTTCTGTGATCCTCAAACGGCTCTGAACTGCTTGGTTTCTAGACCAGTCTGATGGCAATTAACATCGTGGTGACTCGAGCGTAAAGCCGAACCTGTTGCAAGTTTCCATGTTTAACTCAATTGAGAATTGCTACCTGCAGTCGGAAGACAGGGTTCACATAGAGAAAACCCATGGTTGGCATTGAGCCGCCAATGCGCCGACCCTTAAGTTGGGAGAGAGTTGACTTTGCCTAGTTTACTCAAAAGACGTTCAAGAATTGCCCGACATGCCACCGACTAATTAACTCACTTTCTCTTTGCTCGAAACAGCGATTTGACTTCTGTCTCGCTCAGCATTAAACCTATTATGAACAGAGCTAAACACAACGACCCTGGCCCGAAGAAACGAAAGGGATTTGAGCAGATTTTCCCGAACCATCTCTCTTCGTCCCACGGTACGGACCAGGTTTCACATTGAGGTGGTGTCCCTGGAGTGTGTTGCCTGAAGATTATGAACATCGGACGCGGCGGCATCGACACTTCTTGGCAAAACGACGGATGTAGTCCGAACGCTTATTTGTGAGGCATCAAGCCAAGCATCGCGACGTGACAAAGGTTCCCATGGAATGCCAAATGTCTAATTACTGCGTACTGCAGCCTGCAGGTATTCATGCCCTCCCCGGAACCCCCTCCGCAGCGCCCCGAAACTTGACGATCTCGCGAACCTTGACGGGTATCTGTGTTGGTACCTGGGGGCTTTGCGATCCTCGTCAACCTCGTCACCTGACTGACCGACGTAACCGCGCTGCAGTCTAGACTATTGACTGCTGCACATGGTGTTTGCGATGACCGTTGGAGTACTACACTACGTGCGGCGTGCCAGGTGCTGACATGAGCAGCAGTGGCCGGCGGCCAGCTACCCCCTCCCACACACCTCGACGAGCTTGGCCCAAAGAGGCAATGAAACGACAAGACTTGCGTCTGAAGGAATCCCCTCCCCGTCTTCGAATTCTCCACCAGCGCGGTCCACCACCTCATGGAAGAGAGGCACTGGCTCTGGCACTGGCACAGAGGGGAGCGCCCCGCCCTAGGGCTTCGCGTACCAAGTACGGGATGGGATGAGTTACGTTGCAGGAAACCTGGAAGAAAGGAGGGAAGGGAACGTGGGAGAATGGAAGAGTGCGACTGAATGCGACGCGGCGGAAGGTCCTTTTGGCTTTTGTGTCAGACCATTGGCTTTCCGATGTTCGGATGCCGCGGCGAACGATGGCAGGACCGCGCTGCGCGGAAATGGTCCGGAACTCGGAGGCTAAGAGGACTTGGCAACTTGCCCGGTTTGGTCTCAAGACTAGAATTTTTCTAGAACATGGGAGCGTCCCCGCTCTTCGTTCTGCCCAGTTTTTCAGATACGTACCGAGGCTCGGACCACCTGGACCCCCGATCCGACGCCAGGACCAATTCGTCCAGACGGTCACCTGAACGGAGCCACGAAATGAGGTTGGCGACTTTCTCTCTTGACCTTCGCCCGGCCACCGTGTTCACGGACGACACGACGAACGATAGACGACGGACGACGCAAAGTACTGCACTTGCACGGTCTGATCGGCTGCCAACTCAATGATTTCGTTTGCAACGGACAAGTCTTGGCTGCCTTCCTGGTGACGGTCTCCCGATCTCTGGCGAAAAGACGAACTTTGGCGGCTATGCTCGGAAAAGTCAGACGACGTCGGCGCAGCCGCCAACCCAAACCAAAGAATTGGAGTGTATCAAACGTTGGGGGTTGTTTTGGAGAACATCTCCAAGCATGACGGAGGGTTGGAAAAATATTTCAACATCGCAGCTGCAGCATGAATGAAGGTGTGACGAAACGCCGCCGCCATTGCCCTCTCCCGAATGCTCGGGTCCTGCCGTAACAATGAGAGGCGTGCGTTTTGTCTTGAATGGGCAACAAAATCGTTCAATTATTGGCCGCCAATTCTTTTTTCTCTTCCAAACCTTTCCCACACCAGGATAGACCACCACACCAAAACTTCAACCGCGTCCGACCTTTGGCCTTCGTCACAACTGGAGAGGGGCGCTCCGCGGAGATGCAAATTCTGCATTCTCAAGGATCTGAGGCAGGCATCCATTAGTGTGGTCGCTAATGTTGCCTTACCGCGCAGTCTCGCAGGGATACCGTCTAAGTGTCGCTAGGCCTTTTGGGGGCTGCCAATATGTGTCAATCTGTGCTGCAAGCCTACAAGCCTGCAAAACGCTTTCAGGGCTGTTACATCCTACGGCACTTCCCAATGCTGCCCGTCGCTGATCATTGCATCGGTACCGCCGTGCTCGAAGCCTGGGTGTGATGCCAATGCTTTTAGACTGTCCACCAGATGCTTCAGCCTTCAGCCTTCAGACCGTGGGGGGGAAGGATGCCAGTCTAGCAAATGCTCATTCTGCCTTGTCGAAGCCCCCCAACTGGCGATCATTAGCTGGGGTAAGGATAGGTTTTTGATGCTTCTTATCTTCAAGTTCATGGGGGCTCCGATTCCCAAATCACGCATCTCAGCCTCATTCCGACTGGAGGACACAACTCGGAAATATCTACGCAGCTTTTTTCGCAGAGACCGACAGGCACCACCACACCCGCACCCTTTGTTTTGTTGACGGCCATCGAAACGTTTCTAACGTTTCGTCAGCCAGAGGTACATCTTGCGCAGGTACCTCCAAAATGCCACATTGGTGGAGGGGCATTGGTTTTTGGTGTGTGTGAGAGTGCCGCGCAACTGGACTGGACAGCAACCAGGTCTGAGGTTGGAGCTCTCCGCCGCCCGGATGCCTGGCTAGAGCTCAGGTGATCTGAAAATTTGATCGATTGCGAACGTGGCTCCGCTCCTGTTCAAAGCCCGGCCCCAGCTTCGTCTGATGACCCCAAGCCCAGCGAGCGCGACCAGTCGCCAGCGACGCCGGCCTGCCGCGAGGGCACGCCTGGGCCTGGGACGTTCTGCGTCTGGAAGGGCTGGGTGAAATGACCTCTTTTCCCTTTGCGCCAAGGATGGTCGTTCGTGGTGATGATGCCTCAACCGTGGTTCAATGACAGAACCAGTCTGTGTCACTTGGGTCTTGCGGTGGCCCTGTTGACGAATTTTTGGCTACGCAGGGAAATGCCTGTGGAGCATCTCCGAATCGGAGTGTGGGAGATTGGTCGTGATGGAAGTTTAACATTGCATCACTGTTTGGGTTCATCTGCGACCATCGCAATCCGCCAGCCTTGAACGGTGGACCTGGGCAGATAGGTCCAACGGCGGGCAATTGCATCGTGCATCAATGATGCATCTTGAGGAGCCGTACGGAGTATCCGTACCTACTGCCGTCCCCTTTCTTACACGCGCGGATGGATCCTCGATTCCGGTTTACTGGATGGACTTGGTTGACCTTTGGTATGATATCAGGTTCGCACAAGCGCATCAACCTACGGCTATTGTCCATGTCTGTCACGAATGCAACCGCAAAATTCACGTCTCCGAGTCAGCGATTAGTTTCCCCGGAGCAGGTGTTGCGTTGCATGTCTAGGCTTGGCAAAGTGTGCCGTATTCGAACCTTGCCGCAACGATCCGACGAGGACAACCTCTTTTGGGGGTGTCGTGACGGTGATTGGGGGCAAGGTTCCCCAACATGACCCCTTCCCTGAGCTTCGACTTCAAGAGAGGGTGAGAGGGAGATGGGAGCCAAAAGAGCCAAGAGATGGTGCGGGCAGGTCCTGGTCAGACGGCACGGGGCCTCGAATTACTTCAGGAACGTGATGAGAGTCGAGAAACTCAAGCTTTTTGGTGGTGGTCACTGGTCAAGCCGTCAAAGGAAAGAGGCTGCCCGGCACAATATCGCATAGGGCGCGATGAACAGCTCAACAGCCACCTCCTAAGGCTCCTCCTAGTGTATGGAGTACACACTACGAAGTACATAGTAGGCAGGCTCCTGCTCACAGACTCCTCCCAGAGACTTCAGACCGGTGGTCGTCGCTGACACATTTGGCCCTGGTTGGCCTTGGATGGAACGGAGGTTCTGGACCAATAATTGCCCACTTTACAGGACGAGGCAAGTGCCTTGGTTTCTGGCCCAGCTTCCCACCTTTTTTCCACGGGACGAATGCTCATGTTAATGCCTTGTGTGCCACAAAAACATGCCAGTTGGGAAACTTGGCCAGGGGTGTGTGTGGTTCTGGAGGGGGCGCATTCTACACAGTAACAGCTGGACAGCAAAAGTGACTTCCAATCAAGTACTCCGTACCCGTCCTAGCTTCTCCAATGCCATATAACCAAGAAGAGTCCCACCTCGTGTGCAGATTTGTTGGTGGAAAAGGGTTTTGAAAAGCTTTTCTGGCCGTCCCAAACGTTTTCCTACATCATTGAACTTGACCTTTGGTCCTTGGATATAGGACGCCTGATCTGCGAGAACCCAGAATAGGGATGCAGGGCACATTGAAACGCCGTTGAAATCCGTACGAGCCGTCAACCAGACTACAACCAAACGAACGACGGGAGGCCGAGACAGCGCTACAGCGACATCGCGCAGCAAGCCATCATCACGCCCAGAGCCGGAACCCAGAGGGAAGAGACGCACGCCTACCTTTACGACCCCTCTTACCTTCCACGTCCCCCTTCCCTCTCCCGCGAGTGTGAGAAGCGGGGTTTGACTGGGCTGGCGCAGCATCCACGCAACTTGCCCAGCGAACTGCATCGTCGTTGGAGCTGAGCTCGGGAAGCGAAGCATCGGTTGGGAGGCTTTTTGCAGCAATCCATCCACCAGCACCAGCACCAAGCCCGAGTTGTCCTTCCTGTTTCCTCTTTTCCTTGTTGGGTTACCTTCACCATTGGAGCGACTTATCGTCCCGTTGACCCTCTCATCCATCCATCCTACGAGCATCGTCGTCTCGTGCTTGCTGGCTGTTCGTCGTCAAAGGTGCCACAACATATTGGCGGCCCCAGCTGCGTTTGGATCGTCAAAAGAGAGAAAGAGGCAACAGATTCTGCCACAACACACCCTTCATCGTTCGTCGTCTGCTGCTGCTCACCCGATCCTCTTTTCTCTCTCAGTTTCGCCCTCTCACGTTGTCGGAGCAGCCACCACCAATCCAACTCAACCAGCCACTCAGCTCTCGTAACTGTGTGTGGTGCGTGTGTGTGTGTGTGTGCTTGGTCTAGAAAGATCGAGACAACCAGTGACAGAGACCCTAGGCGAGAGAAAGAGGCCTGACCTGACCCTCTCACCCATACGAATTGAACATCCGGTTGTCTGTGTGTCTGCACAGCATCTGCACCAAAACGTGGGGAAGACCGTGGGAGAGAACCAAGACACACAAACCGCAAGGAAAAGAGAAGAGACAAGCAGGTCCCATCCTGTCAAGTTGTGTGGACGTTGTGAAGCAGAACATCCCGTCCTTTTTAACAGGAACAACGACCCGGTCAAGCTTGGCCTACAGCCTGTTCCCCACACACCCCCTCGTTCCCTCTCTCTCACAGTCGGAAGTCTTCTCCTGATCTCTCCTCTCAAGAGGGACACTCACACGTATCCGTACTCACCACACCCCCCTCCTCCTCCTCCTTGAATCCCCTCCATCCCCACCGTCTCTTCTCACAGTCACCAGTCACCCATTCCATCCCATCCATCCCTCATCCCTCACCCCTCTCCGCTCGTCGCTGCACGCCCACTCCCACGCCGGCGGCCCTGCTCGGTGGTGTCTGGCAAGCCGCAAAGTCTGGGTCTAGGCGAATGGCTGGAGTGCGCCCCCCCTCAAGCTGCCAGTTTATTATCATTACATAAAAGACCGCCGCTCTCTTCCATTTCCTTACACACTGCAACCTCTCATCGCTGCGTCCCTTATCTCTGGGCTGGCAAAAACAAGCTGTCAAAGATTCAACTGAAGCTCAATTGCGCCCGCTTGGATGCCTTTCCCCCCAGTCACAGTCTCAGCAGCGCACCGCTCCGTACCTTATCTCGCGGCTGTTTAGATTCTCCCACCCTTTCCAAGTCCCTCTACCACGCTGGCGGTTTCGCCCCAA